TGAAACAAAGAACTGGTTCTTTGAAAATATAAACAAGATTGATGGACCCTTAGCCAGACTCACCAAGAAACAAAAAGACCCAAATAAACAAAATCAGAAACTAAAGGGGAGAAGTAACAACTGACATCACAGAAATACAAAGGATCATTAAAATATACCAAGAACAATTTTACGCCAACGAATTGGACAATCTAGGCAAAATCGACAAATTTCTAGAAACACGGTTTCCAAAACTGAACCTGGAAGAGCTAGAAAACTTGAATAGACAAATAACAACTAAGGAAATTAAAGATGTAATCAAGAAACTCCCAGCAAACAAAAGCTCAGGCCTGGATAGCTTCATGGAGTAGTTTTACACAACATTCCAAGATCTAACACCCATTCTCCCCAAACTATTCCAAAAAATCCAAAAAACTCATTTTATGAGGCCAGCATTATCTTCATTCCAAAACCAGATAAAGACACTACAAAGAAAGAAAACTACAGGCCAATATCACTGATGAACACAGTTGTCAAAATCCTTAACAAATTATTAGCAAATCGGGGTCATGCAGGAGGCACCCAATCAATGTGTGTCTCTCTCATTGATGTTTCTCTCTGTCTCTTTTCCTCCTTCCATTCTCTCTCTCTAAAAAAAAAAAAAAAAAAAAAGGAAAAAGATCCTCAAGTGATAATTAACCAAGAAACAACAAAAAACACACTAGTAGGTGGGGTAAAGACACAAATGGGCTTGTCCCACCATACATGTGACAATTAAAAATTGGGAAGAATATCTTGGCTGTGGAGTTCCCCACTGAGGGGCAAGGGATAACAGCTCCATACCAGGACCTCCAGCCCAGGGCTCCAATTTTAGAAAGAAAAGTCCCCATAACTTCTGGCTCTAAAAACCAGCAGGGATTATGGCTGAGTGAGAGAGAGGGCTACTAGATTCCCAGGTGTTCCTCTCAAAGGGTCCACTCACTCATGGACTTAAATGGACTCACTCGCTCTGAGCTCCAGTGCTAGAGCAGAACCTTAAAAGGCACCAGAAACATAAGGGGAGGAACTGAGTTATCTGGCTTCAGGGCAAGGGCTAGAGGGACACCTTTCTCCTAGACAGAAGTGCTGGCAGAGTTCAGTGTTCCTCTGATGAGCCTTCCCCACACACAGTGGCAGGCAGGCACCATATCTGAGTCTCCATCAACCTGGCTCACACTGTTTTACCTGTACTGGTGATTCCCTGAGATGCTGCCCCATTCAAATTGTGAGCTTATCCAAGCCGTTTCCAGTGGCTTTTCCATACAAGCAGCTTATCTTGGTTGCACTAACCTTTTGTAGTGAAACCTTGATTTCTGCTAGCATGTCAATGGGAGTGATTTACCTTCAGGTCAATCTGCTAGAAGGACTGGCTGAGACCACAGTGGAGGATCTGCTGTGCAAGGACCATCCCACACATTAAGACTCACTTCAGTGGGGCTCTGGTACCTGATGAGTTTGCTCCTTGAATGTGTTGCTCATGGATGTAGTTGGATGTTGCTCTGACACAATCTGAAGCTTGCCACTGGGTGTGCCAGATGAGTTTGCTCCTTGAATGTGTTGCTCATGGATGTAGTTGGATGTTGCTCTGACACAATCTGAAGCTGCCCACTGGGTGTGCCAGATCTAGGGCCTCCCAGAAGGGGCAGGCAAAGACTAGCTGCCATCTGTGCCCCGCCTGGAGACACTTGTTATGAGCTACAGTACAATCTGCAGATGGTTGCTACTTGTTCTGGGCTTGGAGGTGCCTCAGAGAAACCAAGCTGCAATCCAAGGGAGGCTGTCAGTAGTGCCAGTGCTGAGGGCACTTAGTAAGGGGTATGGGGCACACAAAAGCCAGTTGCTGCTTGTTTGGGATTTGTGAACCTTTAAAAGATTTTAGGAAAGTCAGTAGCAAGTCTTAATGTGTGGGATGGTCCTTGCACAGCAGATCCTCCACTGTGGTCTCAGCCAGTCCTTCTAGCAGATTGACCTGAAGGTAAATCACTCCCATTGACATGCTAGCAGAAATCAAGGTTTCACTACAAAAGGTTAGTGCAACCAGCCCTCATGACACAAGGAGGAGATGGAGGGAGGCATACCTTGAGTGCCTACCTCAGCTGACAGAGGAGGCTGCACCACTGGGCTATATAGGATAACTACTACATAAGGTCACACTGCCAAGACTGGAAGATGGAAGCAGCAGAACAAAACTCCAAGAAAAAAAAAACAAAAAAAACCCTAAATCAATAAAAAAATATAAATCAATAAAATGAAGATAAGCACACTGCCAGATGCAGGGTTTAAATCACTGGTTATAAGGATGCTCAGTGAATTAGTAGAAGAGTAGATGAACTTAGTGAGAACTTCAACAAAAAGATAGGAAACATTAAAAAGGAGATATAAAACATAAAAAAGAACTAGTCAGAAATGAAGAATACAATAACTAAAATAAAGAATACATTATAGGAAACCAACAATACAGTATGAAGCAGATCAAATCAGCAATTTGGAATATAAAGAAGCAGAAAGTACCCATTCAGAACAAAAAAGAAAAAGAACCCAAAAATATGAGTCTCTGGGACACCTTTAAGTTTACCAACATTCACAACATGGGTATACCAGAAGGAGAAGAGAGATGGCAAAAAAATTGAAAACCAATTTGAAAAAATAATGATGGAAAACTTCCCTCACCTGGTGAAGAAAATAAATGTACAAATCCAGGAAGGGAAGAGAGTGCCAAACAAGATGAACCTAAAGAGGCCCATACCAAGACACATCATAATTAAAATGCTGAAGATTAAAGACAAAGAGAGAATCTTAAAAGCAGGAAGAAAAAAAAGTTAGTTACTTACAAGGGAGATCCCATAAGACTGTCAGCTAATATCTCAACATAAACTTTGCAGGCCAGAGGGATTAGCATGAAATATTCAAAGTGATAAATGTGGCCGAATAGTATTCCATTGTATAATTGTACCATGTCTTTTCTTTTCCACTCATCTACTAATTGATACTCTGGCTGCTTCCAAATTTTGGCTAGTGTAAATAATGCTGCAATGAACATGGGGGTGTCATATATTATTTCAAATTAGTGTCTTACCCTTTGCAACAGCATGGATGAAACTAGAGAGCAGTATGCTAAGTGAAATACACCAATCAGAGAAAGATAAGTACTACATGATTTCACTCATATGTGGAATCTCATGAACAAATTGAATTAACAAGTGAACTGGAGACAGATTCATAGAAAGAGAGAAGGCTGATAGTTGTCAGGGGATGGGGCCTTAGTGGGCATGATGGTGGAGGGATTGAGCAAAAAGAAAAAAAAAGAAAAGAAAAAAGCTCATGGATATGAACAACAGTGTGGTGAGGGGTATAGCGGGATAAATGGTGATGGACAGAGGCTTTACTTGGAAGGCTGAACACACAATACACTATACAGATGATATATTATAAAACTGTGCACCTGAAACCTGTTGTAAATTTGTTAACTAGTGTCACCCCCAATAAATTCAATAAAAAGGAAAAACAAAACAAAACAAAACAAAAAAAACAAGGACAAACAACCAACATTATTCGATCCAGAAAGGCTATGATTTAAAATTGAAGCACAAATAAAGAGCGTCCCAGACCAAAAAAAGCTAAAGAATTTCATCACTAGCATTACAAAAAAAATGAATATAAATTGACAATACATACCTATCAACAATTACTTTAAATGCAAATGGTTTAAATGCTCCAATCAAAAGACGTATGGTGACTGAATGGATAACAAAATAAGACACTTACATATGCTGTCTACAAGACACTCACTTTAGATAGAAAGATACACAAAGACTGAAAGTAAAGGAATCGAAAAAGATATTTCAAAATGGAAACAAACAAAAAAGTGCTGAGATAGCAATATTTATGCCAGACAAAACAGATTTTAAAACAAGGGCTATAACAAGCAATTTGACTTCTGGGTATTTATAAGAAGAAACCCAAAACACTAAATCGAAAAGACTTATGCATCCATATGATCATAGCAGCATTATATACAACAGCCAAGATATGGAAGTGACCTAGGAGTCCATCAATAGATGAATGGACAAAGAAGATGTGGTGTATATATATAATGAAATATGACTCAGCCATAAAAAAGAGAAATCTTGCCACTTGCAACAACATGGTTGGACCTAGAGGGCTTGTGTTGAGTGAAATAAGTCAGACAGAAAAAGATAAATGTTATATAATTTCACTTACATGTGCAGTCTGAATGAATGAATGAATGAATGAATGAATGAGTGAGTGAGTGAGTGAGTGAATGAATGAACAAGCAGACCAGAAACAGATTCATAGATTTTGACAGTTGATAGAAGGAGTGGGGTTAAGAAAATAGATGCAAAAGGTGAAAAAATTAAAAAAGTACAAGCTGGTAGTTATACAACAGTCATGGAGATATAAGTATAGCACAGAAAATATATATAGTCAATAATTTTGTAATAACTATGTATGGTGTCAGATGGGTACTAGATGTATTGGGGCAATCATTTAGTTGTACATCTGAAACTAATATAATATTGTATGTCAATTGCAATTTAAAAATAAAAGATTAAAATGGGAAAAATTACTTATGCTCTCAGTGTCCTCATTTTTAACATAGAAATAATAATAACAGCAACCTTACTGGGCTGCTGAAAGGCATAAGTGAATAATAGTGCCTTGAACAAAGTAAGCACACTCAACAGACATTAACTATCCGTTTACATATACACATTACATAAAAATACATTTTGTAGTATATACATTATACATTAAAAATATCAGAGAGAATCTATTTTTAGAATTAAATAAATTATACTAAATACATTTTCCCTATACTTACTTTATGTCCTACTTTCCAATTCAAATTATAGTACTTCAGGGATAAAATGAAAACAAATATTATTTTTGTAAACTCAAAGTTAAATGTTCATCTGTATTATGACATCTTTTTCACATTAAAAAGATGATATTTGTATTACCTGAGTCTCCACACCCTGCTCCAGTAGGCGCTTAGCTTGATTTTCCACTTCAAGTCGAGCTCTTGCAATAAAAAGTAGATCATTTTCTATTACTTCGATTCCAGAAAGATCTATTCCTTGAGAAAGATAATCTATTAAAAAAAAACATACATTTAACTATTTCAGTATTAGATACATATCAAGTTATCAAGGCATCACGTCTAACCTGTTCTAAATACTGTTTTTGAACACTATTCCACTTTGAAATCTATACTCTAAAAAAATCTGTATTTGAAAAAAGTAAACAAATCTTTTCTACTCAATAAGCAATTATTCCAGAACAAAATGTTCCAAATAAAATAGAGTTGGTAAATCAAGAGTAGAAATTATGATTGGCATAAATTCAAAGTAACGTGAAGGATTACATCAAAAATAGTGTCAAATTTATTTTAATGTAACGAACATGATAATTTCAGAACTTTCTCAATTTGCAAGACTGCTTTAAAAAATTATTATATAATAACAAAATATTTGAAATATATGTAATATCTGTAGAATAATTAATAAATTATGAGCCCTGGTGATGGTAGGTCAGTGGTTAGAGCATTGGCCCGCACACTGAAGGGTCGCAGGTTCGACCGGTTAAGGGCACATACCTGGGGTGCAGGTTCGACCCCTGGCCCTGGTTAGGGCATGGACAGGAGGCAACCAATTTCTCTCTTGCATCAATGTTCCTGTTTCTTTCTCTCTCTCTCTCTCTCTCTCTCTCTCTCTCTCTCTTCCCCTCCCTCCCATCCACTCTCTCTATAAATCAATGAAAAAAATATCCTTGAACTTCCCATCAAGATGGTAACATAGGTAAACCCGGTACTTGCCTCCTCCCACAACCACATCAAAATTACAACTATAGAACAACCATCTTTCAAAACCACCTGAAATCAGGCTGAATGGAAGTGCTACAACTAAGAAACTAAGCAGCAGCCACATTGAAACTGGTAGGAGGAGGGGAGGTACGGATAGGCTGGTCCCACACCCATGTGTGACACAAAAATCAGAGGGTACCTCAGCTGGGAAGGTATTCCCTGAGGAGTGAGGGGTCCCCGATCCACACCAGACCCCAGCTCAGGTTCCAGTGCCAGGAAGAGAAGTCCCCATCACTTCTGCCTGTAAAAACGAGCAGGAACTGAGGCAGAGGGAGGCTGAGGCTGCTGGAGCCCCAGAAAGTTCCTTGAAAAGGGCCGGCTCACGGACTTACTCGAACTGGCTACCTCTGAGCTCCAGCATGGAAGAGGTAGCTTGAAAGGCACCAGAGACATATGGGAAAGAACTGAGTTGTTTGGCATTGGAGCAAGGGCTGGAGAGGAAGCTTTCTCCTAGACAGACATGCTGTCATAGGCCTTCATTCCTTTGGTGAGCCCTTCCCTGGGACAGCAGCAGCCAGCCATATGTGGGATTCCAGCAACCTGGCTCACACTGTTTGCCCCGCCCTGGTGATTCCCAGAGGCCCTGCCCCACCCAACTTTCGGGACCACCCAAGCTGTTACCAGTTGCTTTACCATAGGATTAGCCTGTCTTGAATCCTGCTTCAGGTTTTCCTAAAATGTCTGAAACAAGCAGCATCTGGTCTCAGGAGCCTCATACTTCTCATTAAATGGTCACAGGCCTGGCACTAGAAGCAGCCAGCCTTGGTTTACAACTTGGCTTTGCCTGGACACCTCCAAGCCCAGCACAAGAAGCAGCCATCAGCAGACAGCTTTGTAGCTTATGCCTGGTGGCCCTGGGTAGAACACAGGCAGTGGCTGACCTGGGCCCAAAGCCAGCACACCCAGTGGACAACTTCAGAACACTGCGAAGCACCACCCCCAACCACTTACACAAGTGACACACTCAAGGAGTGGATTCAGTGGGTATCAGAGCCTTGCTGAAGTAAGTCTTGCTCTGTGTGGTGGGTCCCCGCACAGCTGATCATCCAAGGTAGTCAGAGGTCGGTGGATAGTGGGCACAGCCAGTTCTTGCAGCTGATTAGCCTGAGTAAATCCCTCCCATTGGTGTGCCAAAAGCAATCATGACTCAATTACAACAGAAGGGTGTAGAGTCCACATGAGGGTGCACCTCGAGGGCTCACCTGGGAGATCAAGGAGGCTGTGCCACTGGACCCTATAGGAAACCACTACAATAGGCCACCCTAGGAAGCCCAGAAGACATAGCAACTCAACCTAGTACATAAAATCAAATACAGGGAAGCAGCCAAAATGAGGGACAAAGAAACATGTCCCAAATAAAAAAAGAGAACAACACTCCAGGAAAAGAACTAAACAAAATGGAGATAAGCAATCTAACAGATGCAGAGTTGAAAACACTGCTCATAAGGATGCCCAATGAACTTAGTGAGAACTTCAATGATCTTAGTGAGGGCTTCAGGAGCATAAAAAAGAACCAGTCAGAAATGAAAGATGCACTAACTGAAATAAAGAATAATTTATAGGGAATCAATAGTAGGGTAAGTAGGTAAAGCCAAGAAGCAAACCATCGATTTGGAATATACGGAAGCAAAAAACATCCAATCAGAACAGCAAAAAGAAAATAAAAAATCCAAAAAAATGAGGATAGTGTAAGAAGCCTCTGAGACAACTTCAAGCATGCCAACATTTGCATCATGGAGATGAAGAAGAAGAGAGAGAACAAGAAATTGAAAACCTATTTGAAACCATAATGACAGAAAACTTCCCTAACTTGGTGAAGGAAACAGACATACAAGTCCAGGAAGCACAGAGAGTCCCAAACAAGATGAACCCCAAGAGGCCCACACCAAGACACATCACCATCAAAATGCAAAAGGTTCAAGACAAACAGAGAATCTTAAAAGCAGCAAGAGAAAAGCAGTTCGTTACCGACAAGGGAACTCCCACAAGACTGTCAGCTAATTTCTCAAAAGAAACTTTGCAGGCCAGAAGGGAGTGGCAAGAAATATTCAGAGTGATGAAAACCAAGAATCCACAACCAAGATTACTTTGTCCTGCAAAGTTATTTAGAATCAATGGACATATAAAGAGTTTCCCAGACAAGAAAAAGCTAAAGGAATTCATCATCACCAAACCATTATTATATGAAATATTGAAGGGTCTTCTTGAAGAAAAAGATCAAAACCATGAACAAACAAAATAGCAATAAATACATATCTATGGACAATTGAATTTACAAACAAAATGAACAAGCAGAGCAGAAACACTCTCATAGATAAAGAGAACATTTTGTTGGTAGCCAGATGGGAGGGGGTTTGGGGGAACAGGTGAAAAAGGTAAAGGGATTAAGAAGTACAAATTGGTTGTTAGACTGACAAACCTCAAAGGGAAGGGGGGTGGGTGGTGGGAAGTAATAAACCAAAGAACTTATATGGATATATGCATAACCAATGGACACAGACAACAGTGTGGGGAAAAGCAGGAGGGGGACGAGAGTGGGAAGGAGGGAGTCAATAGGGGAAAAAGAAGGAATATCTGTAATACATTCAACAATAAAAATAAGTTTAAAACAAAAAAGAAAAAAATATCCTCAGGTGAAGATTAACAAAAAAATAAATCATGAAAATAAACCTTAGCATGCTTACAGTTTACATGATTTGTGCAGTGCTAATGGTTACTTACACTCAAAATCTTTCATATTAATGAATGAAAAAAATGACACAGAGGGCCTAACTATATAATTATATTGTTTATAATTCTGTAATCTTTATTTACAGAGTTTTATATATATATATATATATATATATATATATATATACATAGCAAGAAGTATGAAAAGATACCTACCAAAATTATCATAACAGTTGTCTCTGCATATTTAGAGTTTGAGAAATTTACTATTTAAAAAAATTTTTTTGGCTTAATCTTAGACATATCTAAAATACTACAAATAAACGTCACGGTTTCATTAAGTGTCTTAGACACCGTTCTAAAACTTATAGTTTCTTATTTATTTATCCTCATCTGAGGACATTACTCCATTTTTTGTTCAGATAGAGTGGGAGGGAGAGAGAGGAAGAGAGAGAGAGAAACATGTACGTGAAAGGGACACATCGAGTGGCTGCCACCAGCACGACCAACCAGGGCCAGGGACAAACTGCAACGGAGATACGCGCCCTTAGCGGAAACTGAACCTGGGTCTCTCTGGACCGCAGGCCAACGTTCTAACCGCTGAGCCAAACCGGCCAGGGCTAAAACTTATAGTTTCTATTTTATTAAGATAAATTATTTCTAACAAACAAAAATTATTTAGATAGATGACTTTGTTTTAGTTACTCTATAGAATATCAAATATGTTTTTCAGTGAATTCTCTTAATTTGAATTTTTAAACTTTAAGTCTTATTAAAATTTATACCTAGCATATGTTATCTATTTAACTGAGTCACAACTACTACCTAGGTGAAAGTACATTAAAGCATCCAGTATAATGCTAACCACTTAACAGCACTGAAGTTTCTGATTATTAAACACTAAATAGTTAGTTCTGCACAACAGGACAAAAGGAAATGATATCAAGGGTAGCTGAACAGTGGTTTTTGCAAACTGTACTTCAACCATGATGGTTTTTTTTAAATGTGTATATCTAAAGGGACACTTGCCTTACCACAGTGGAGAGTACTGAAAATACCTTTAAATCATTTGGGCTTAGATTCTACCTCATAATTTAGGTGATCACAGTCAAGTGATAGTCTCATTAGGCCTCACCATTTTACCTATAAAATGCCAAGAACTTAAAAGTCATGCCCTACATAGGCACTAAACAGGCTGGTCCCACACCCACATGTCGTGGTTAAGAATCAGGAGAGATATCTTGGTTGTGGAGGTCCACACTATTTACTAAGGGGTCCAGGCTCCCCAAAACCAAACACCAGTGCCAGAAAGAGAAGTCTCCACAACATCAGGCTGCAAAAATCCATGGGACTCTGTCCAGGTGAGATAGTGGGCTGCTGCGTACCCAGGCGTCATCTTACAGGGCCCAAGTATAGACACAGTCACAAACATTAACCCTAATCTCCAGAGAAGCCACCACAGATTGAAAAGTGCCAGGGAGGAACTGAATTGTCTGTCTTCAAGGCAAGAGCTAAAGGGGCAGGTACCATTGTTCCTTTGTTGGGCCCTCCCACAACAC